GGATGGCCCTGCTGCCACCAATATGTGACTATAGCACTCTCAGCCTCAGCCTGCACAGAGCTTTTCCAGCTCGCGGAAGCACAATCTAAGTGCCAGCATACTGAGAGCGAACATCACTTGGGTTGGTTACTCCGCAGTTAACCCTTTACACACACAAATAATAGCTGCCACCACGTGTTTTAACAGAAACACACACCATTCTCAGCAAATGCTGTGACAATTCAAGGCTTAAAAAATGCCTGTGATGCCGCTGTCTCTTCAGACAGGAATAGAGCAGGTTCTACACTAAAACTCTTCACAGAGACAAGGATTCTTTAAGTTCTTATTTAGAGCATAGAAATAAGCTTCATGATTTTAAAAGATCGCTTTTAATAAAGGAAACAGTGCATGAAAAATATACAGAAAAGATGGTACAGAAAAGAAAAAAGTCCTGGGTTCCATGGGTTCCAGCAGGGTCTAGTTAACCACTTAAAGACAAGGTTGTCTTTAACCCCCTTCCCATCCAGGCCATTTTTCAGTATTCTGCGCTGCGGTACTTTGACTGACATTTATTCCATCATGCAACTCTGTACTAAAATTAATTTCATACCATTTTTTGGGGACAGATAGAGCTTTCTTTTGGTGGTATATAATCAGCACTGGGTTTTTTTTTTATTATTATATAACAAAAAAAGTACCCTAAATGTTAAAAAATGCCATTTTTCAGTATTCTGCGCTGCGGTACTTTGACTGACATTTATTCCATCATGCAACTCTGTACTAAAATTAATTTCATACCATTTTTTGGGGACAGATAGAGCTTTCTTTTGGTGGTATATAATCAGCACTGGGTTTTTTTTTTTTATTATATAACAAAAAAAGTACCCTAAATGTTAAAAAAAAACCTGTTTCCCTATATCATGTTATGAAACATTTATTATCACCCCGATTTTTTGGTAAAATATAAAAGACGGGGTCACGTCGGGTAAATAAATTTTTTGTGTTTGTTAAAAAATCCCATCTTTTATATTTTACCAAAAAATTGGGTAATAATAAATGTTTTATCATTTAATATAGGGGAAACTGGTTTTTTTTTACAAATTTCGGTAATTTTTCCTAAATATAGTAAAAAACAAAAACCCCAGTGGTGAATAAATACCACCAAAAGAAAGCTCCATCTGTCCCCAAAAAAGGGTATACAATTCATTTCAGTACAGCGCTGCATGACGGAATAAATGTCAGTCAAAGTACCGCAGCGCTGAATACTGAAAAATGGCCTGGATGGGAAGGGGGTTTAACACCGCGGATGTCAACTGGTTAATTGTTTTTTACATTTTTTTAACACTTAATTTTTTTTTTCTATCACATAGGGGGCTTCTTAGCCCCTTATGTGATAGCCAATTTACATGACAGGTCCTCTTATTGGAGACATCAGGAGTCTCCAAGAGACCTAATGTCACCTAGGGACCCCCAGAGAAGCTGATGAAGTAGAGATCTGCTTCACCAGCTTCTCCCTGGCTTCTGTAGCCGTGAATAACAGCTGAATGCGGAACTGATGTAATATACATCACTTCCTGCATTTGGGGACCAGAGAGGAGATCAGCGGGAGATTGTGTACTGAGCTCCCTTTGATCTCCGGTGACAGAGCCGCTGTGCCGGTCCTGGTCGCACTGGGCACAGCGGATCTTGTGACCGGCGGTGGGGGGCGCACACCCGCAGAAAATACAAGTGATCAGGCAACTCTACAGACATCAGAACACTTGTATGTAAACAGCTATCGCTGGATGTTTACATTTTTGACCTTTCCCCACTCGTGTGCATGCTGGGCGCCATGCACGAGTGGGGACGCGGAGGAACGTTTTAAGACGCCCATCCGCTCTTACAAAGCCCCCGTCCGGCCGTTTAGGTTAAGGCCAATGGACGGGAAGTGGTTAATGAAGCAAAAATGGATGCAATATTGGCGCTCTGGAAATAAGGCTTTTGGCAGATGTTCTTTCTTGATTGTAAAGGAGAGCTCCAGCTGCCTTGTGCAGCAGCTTTTTGCGTTATTTTAAGAGGGTGTCATGGAGCCAGCCTCCAACCAATCAGAAAGGCCCAGGGGTATGAGACAGGAGGGCTGAGGTGCTTTATGATCTTTCACCTCACCATCCCATAATGTCAGTTTCCTGAATGCAGACATATTTGTATTCACAGGCTACCATCTGAAAGCCCATAGATTATTGTATGTTATGAAATTAGCTCTTTATACACACCAGACTTCATATACCTGGGGTGTATGACTCCCTCAGAAGGGGTTATGTGTGTTTTTGGCCCTCTGTACCTGCTAAGCCTGGGGTGCTTGATATGTACAGTACACTACCAGTGTTTCATAATACATCTATAGTTGTTATTAATGTAGCGATCCCAGGTCCAAAGTTATGAATTCTGGGTGACGTTTGGGAACTAGTTTTGTTGGTAAGGGTTATTTTTAGGTCACTGAGTCCAGACTATGTGTATGCAACTGGGATCTGTTACGTGATAACTAGATAGTGTTCTCAGCTTTATTTAGTGCTTTACAATACCCCATTAGAGGTGAGCCCAGACCTCATTACCATCACAGGTGGCAGCTACTCTTCACCGGCAACTATCAATCTTCCTCTCTATCTATGTATCTGTGTATGGTGAGTAAGTGTTTGTACATAGGCAATGGTTGCATGGAGTGCCCAAAAATTGTTCTCACACAGGGACCCTATTGTGTCTGGCACTGTCAGGTTTTTCTCTATGTGCTGACTGGGGGAACTTACTGTTCAGTCTGACACTTTATAGCTAGAAAGGAAGTAAGAGGAGATCTCCACTGTGGGGACACAAAAATCACCCTGCAGAGGTTACAGGCCGACCTCTGCCTTGAAAGTGAACCTATATCCCAAACTTTATTTCCTGTATTCCTGTGAGGTGTAGTGATGAACGTGATCAATGGCTCAAGAATATGTCCCCCACTTTCAGAAAAATCTGTCAGCCAAGGTTTCCGAAGCTCCACTGCATCTCTCTCGGTCTTTGTAAAAGTGATGATAGGGCTCGTATAGAAAGAGAAGGCTATGAACCTCCCTGATGAGTGCCTCATAGCAGTAGCCTGCAGGGATAAGAACCCCACAATTCACCCTAAATATGGCTGTAACATGAAACATGGTCAGAAAGGTAAACTTGCCCTTTAATGGGCAGCAATAGGCATCTTAATGCACATGAACTAAAGCACCACAATGGTGTTAATGAGCCCTTACAGAGACTGGATGAAAGGTTTACAGTTGTATAACACTGTAAGTCATGTGTGGGCAAACCCCAGCCTTCCAGCTGTGGTGAAACTACAAATCCCATGATGCATCTGTCCCTGGGAGCCATGTCTGTGAGAAACTTATAATGCCTCATGGGATTTGTACAGGACATTGCTTCCAAATGAGGGACAATTCTCCTCAGGTTCTTCCAGATAAAGGAGCCATGGATAAACCTGCCTCAGGACTTTGCAAACCTGTTATCCAGGATTTTAGGCACAGAGGTTGCAAATTCACTGTAAACCTGTTGCAGAGACTGCTATCTGCCATAATTTCAGGGGGGTGGGGGGAGAGGGCACCTCCCTGAAATGAGAGGGACACCTCCATGAAAGTGCTTCTTTCAGGTTGGGATCCCTGCTCCTGGTTTATTGGATGTTAGGATTCTGTGTGGCTTGGCCGTCTGCATCCTAGCAACCAAGGACGGCATAATAGGTTTCTAGGATGCAAGCTAGGGTTACCACATGTCCAGGATTCATCCGGATAGTCCAGGTTTTGAATGCTGTGTACTGGTTTCATGGCAGCAGAAACCCTTTCGTCTGGTAGTTCTCATGAAAATGCCAAGTATCTGCACTGGTACTCGAAAAGTATCTGTGCATCCCTACTATTTACATATGAATAAGTCACAACTCATTATCCCAATAAAATGTTTGCGTATCACTAGAGTGTTCGGGTTTCACTTGAAGAAAAGGTGGCAACACTAATGCAAGCGGATGAGCTGCACAGCATCATTAGATTGGGATACATTGGGATTCATTTTGAGTGCAGCAGCGTACGGATCCGGTCAGCACACAAAACGGACGTCGTGTGAACAGGCCCTTAAGGTGCAGGTGGGCGTCTATGTGCCAATCATGCACAGTGAGCTTAGTAACACTGAATGTGATTTTATAAGGCTCAGCCTTGCTGAGCTACATTGAGGATAGAGACTCTGGTATTTGTACTCCAACCTTAGTGCCACCCTGAGTGCCTAACTTTTCAGAAGGAATGACACCAAAATGACTGTCAGTCATTCTGTCACCCCATCTAATGCTGTCACCCGGTGTGGGCCGCCCCCCTCCCCCCGCATGATGCCACCACAGTTGGCGGCATGGCCCCGAACGTCCCCCTATACATGCATACCCAGATAGCAAGTAATTGAGCTGCAAGTTTAAAAATGACTTGCTAAACTATTGCAGACTTGCCAAGCTTCACAATTTTGTTGCACAATTACAGCAAGTCTGCATTGCAAGTCTCCAGACCAGCGAGCTTGCAGAGCGCTTGCTAAGACCTGCAGGACTCTTGCTGTAGACTTGCTAAACAAATTTGCTTCAAATTCAAAAAGTGTCAACTAGAACTTGTGCTGCAAGTGTTCTGCAAGTCTACAACTTGCCAGGAATATGTGCAGCAAGTTAGAAAGAATTACAATTTAACCCTGGCACAAGTTTGTGTCAAGTTATCCTTGCTATCTGGGCATTGCTGCCACAAACAAGTATTGGTTACACCCACTAGTTCTTTTTCACTTCTTTTTTCAAATGCAGTATAACACTTTTGACAGTTACATTTTTTGACAGTAATCTTACATTTTAATAGTGGTGTATTCATGAAAACAGAAACAACTGAGGCGGAAGGAGGACAGCAATGAACAACGTGAACAACTGAACGGTGAACACAATATGTCACTGTGCCACTGCCCACAGCTATTTCACTTCCGTTCTCTACTACAATTCCCAGCATCCCTCGAGTGCGGCCGCTGCAATGACGTCAAAGGAGTGCGCCAAGATCCCGGCCTTGAGGTGAATTGCTGTGTAACGTCCTGAGACCGAGTAGCTGATTTACCGGAAAGAAGAGCTCAGAGCAGCCATGGAGTACTTGATCGGGATTCAGGGGCCTGACTACGTGATGGTGGCCGCCGACACTGTGTGCGCCAACAGCATCATCAAGATGAAGCAGGGTGAGTGGAGACCGGGGACAGCCATCACCTGCCATGCTACACAGTATTGTCATCTCTTTCGATGCTGTCCATTTAGAAAGCAGGCATAGGAACCCTCAGAGAGACATTTCTATGGCTTATTTCCTGGAAAAGCCCTCTTATTAACATATCATTCATCCCTGTTCTAGATTGTAAAGTGTATTTATATTACTCTCCAGTGTAATTAATATGAATACAGGATGTCAGTTCACCGTGACCCCACTGGATGGAGGTGAGCACAATAGGGGGGAATTAATAAAGTGTCTGAGATCAGTACTATTTAAACTGTTGTGGTTGCCCTTAGCATCATGACAGCTTCTAGCGTTCATTTTTTCCACACAGCTTAGAAAATTAAAAAGTAAAAGCTGATTGGCTGTGTTCCACTTGAGACAAGGTTTGTCTCAAGCTGTTTTTTTCTTTCAATTCCCCCCCATAGGCCAGAAGCAAATTCTCCTTATTTTACAACAATAAGGCCTTGTATGTTGTGATTATGGATGATTTCAGGCCCAGCAAGTGAATGTGGCTACCCATAGCAACCAGGTTACAGGTGTCAGGTTATGGAGTGAGAATCTGGTTGCCATTGGTTACTGCGCTCTCCTTATTAAAGGAACTCAAACGTAGTGCCTGGAAAGCATGTTCTCATGTTATTGTAGCAGGTGTCCCCAATGGACTGTTTGCCATAACCTCTTGTTTCTGTCTTTTGCTAATGGTCACCAGGACAAATACAGAGGGTGAACTTACCCAATGGGGTCACAAACAGAAGGAAAAACTTGTCAGGGGTTCTAGTCATCCCTACCTGATACAAAACAACTAAATTGAGGTTTGGGTTAAGGATCCCCTCTCCTCTATTCACAAAAAGCCTTCTATTTCCCCTGCATGAGGAGGTGGGGATGTGACATCATCTCTCCTCCAATCACAGAACACCTTGAGGGGATTTTATCAAAACTGGAGCAGTTGTGCATGGCAACCAATTAGCTTTACCTTCTGTTTGTTTAGTAAGTGCTCCATATTCTGTCTGCTCCAGTTTTGATAAATACCCCCCCCCC